ATATAATTTTATATATATATATATATATAAAAGTGTATAACACTTGTGAAATTCATATATGAAGATTACATCTGTTTTAGGTATATTAAGTGTAGAGATATATAGCAAGAGTCAAGCATTCGCTCTATAAAATATCTACTTTTAAAGCTTTTTGTTTTCTCGTGAAAAGGAATGAAATTTCATTTAAACGAATATTAGCCCGTTATTCTTATGACTTAGTTATGACTAGTATACATATTAGCTTGTGCTTTTTTATTATACAGATGCATCATAATTAATAATTCTTAAACGCTGTTTCAGCCTCTACGTATCTTGCTTGCTATATTACGAGTCATTTTCTTTACAATAGACAGAGATTACACTATAAATCTCCATCATCATTATTTAAACAATAATTTTCATTGTCAGTCAAAAAAAAAATAAAATTTTTAATAAAGACGCATTCAAAAAATTTGAAGTCATGACAGTCTCGCTTTGTTCTAAAACGTTGGCACAGATATACTAATTCCAAACAAATGTTTGGAAATAAATATCTTAATTCATTTTATCTAAATTTTTGAATAATTTTAAGATTAAAACTAATTGCTGAAGATTATTATTTATATATACTTTCATTCATAATCAATTATGTATTTTATGTACTCATAATCAATTATATATGTATTATTATGTATATATAATATATAATTTCAACCGATATAGTGCAAAGTAATTAATTATCGAAATCTTTCGAATGTAAACATATAAAATATCTTGCATTATTAATTAAAAATATTGTTACTTATTGTACTGTAAAAAATATGAAATTCTTAAGAGTGATATGTACCATATGATATCTCTCTAATAATAAGTTGCATTTGTTGGTAAATAATTAATAATTTATCAAGATAAATATAATGCCAGTCTAATATGCAACATCATATTGCAAAAAAACAAAGTGATATTAATCACAGCACTTTCGTTTAAAATTAAATAACATTTCTCACGCTCAAGATCTTTTTTGATTGATATTTTAATGCGCGTTATTCCTGTACAGTGGATCACAGAAAGATTGCAAAACCTTTTTTTTTTATGGATTTCGGAATTTAGTCTTGCTTGTAGAGTGATTGAATATAAATGATTAAATCTATATTGTAAGAGAACCAATTTCTCCGATGAGCAGATTGCATTCTGAAACTAATCGAAAAGAAGTGTTACAATCTTTCTGTGATCCACATTGTACGCTATTTAAAATTATGCTATGCAAATGTCATTTATCCTTTGCAATAACAGTATTTGCGTAAATGAAATAGTGAATTTTCTACACATCTCGCCTGAGATCCATACATATTGATTCTGCTAACATCAGAGATCTATAACAAGACAATAACATTCATAATAAAATAATTGTGCCTCTCTTAGTCAATTCGCTTTCCTGAATTTACCTTAGTGTGAAAAGTATTCTTCGCAAGATCTTGAACAATGCTAACTTCAAATAACGCGTCACCTGGTACTGTTTTTACTTTTAGTTGATAAATTTCAGTTATTACTTTTGTTTTGGCACTGAAATCACCTATAAAACCGTCTTGATCTCCGGATTTTCGGAACTTAAGTAAACCTGAAATGTCGCAGACATTAGCTTTATATAAATAACAATGATAAACGATACATTTTGCGTGCCATACCTTTAGTAGGTATAAGCCTAGCAGCCCATAAGATCTCGTCCAAATGTAGTATCGCGCATATATTATGATGATCTTCGATGTAACCATTAAGGAATTGAACGAAGTAATTAGCAGCAGCCACAACGTTTGTATCATCAATTGAGAGTTCTTTCCATCCGAGACAAGCACACCAATGAGGCTCTATAAATGCATCTGCGCATGTTCTATCCACAGGTATCTAAAGTTTTACATTAGATATTAATTATCAGTTTTTTTCTTACAAATTTAATTGTAATAAAAGTTACAAATTTTCTTTTAAATTGTGTCAGTACAATAATTACAGTTAACTTGGCAATTCATTTGCATCCAATCTATAATTTCCTAAAAGAAGCAAAAAATTGCTCTTGATTAATCATAAGACGATATTTATAGGCCACTATTCATAGTCCATTCTTATATTTAAGAGTGTCTTAAGTACAGTCTTAAGATATTATAAGCCAATCATACAGGATGGTATTCATAGTCCGTTCTCATTTTAAAACTTAAGTTAATGCATTAAAATGCTAATACGGTCCTCTGGTTCAACATTTTATAAATATAAGAACCGATTATGAATACTGGCCACCATATTAACACCTTAAAACTATACTTAAAATCATTTTAAATATAAGAATTGACTACCAATCTCTCTGAATAAAAAGCGATTTGATCAATGAGCGAGTCACAATCTCAAAATAGAAAGTAGTGGGGATATTCTACATAGACAGAATGACATTTCATTCATTATCAATATCACTCAGAGCTCGTGTTGTGTCACAAGTGTTACGTTCCATAGTTAATCTACTTTCTAAGTTCTTTTTTAAAATTATTTTTTAACAGTATAATTAAGACAAAATTTGAAATGTGTATATAATTTTTCGATGGAATATGTTTTATATTTACTTAATTTGCGTTTTTTCATGGATTTCTTGGTCTTTGCCTTTCGTATTTTCAAAAAATCCAAACAATATTTGAGCGACCTGTTTCTAGTAATTCATCTATTTCCACAACTCTTTGCAAAAATTATTAATCCATTTCATATCGCAAGCAATCTTTTTATTTTTTAAAATTTGGACGTTTGCTTCAACGAGTAATAGTCAAGAGAGATTACGTCAGCTCTGATCTGAATATCAAATAGTATATCATATCTTGTTTTTATTTTAAAAATGTTTATTTATATTATCGTAATTATGATATCGTAATGAAAATGAAAATAATATATTTTCATTAGTAATTTTATTCATTAATTGTAATGGTCTCTTTGTGCAGATTTTTCACATAATTTTTGAAATTGAATAAAAGTCATTTAATGAATCTCGATATTCACATATGAAAAATAATAATATTTTATCTTACAATAATTTTTAAATACTTAAGAGTCTTAGAATTCTATTTTTAAAAGCGTACGTCATGCATTATTACTAAGACAGTATTGTTGCATACATATTTCTTGCGTGCATGAGTCATCCAATGTCTTACATTCTAATTACTAAGGCCCAATTCCACAATTCACGCTTAACTGTTAACCCGGGAGTGATCGCTGATCATTTTGCCGTATTTTTCCATTTTTTATTTATCTTATTATATCTTTCAATTTATTGACACTATTATATTTTTATCTTTACGTAAATTATGTTTGTTAATGTTTTTTTCGTATAGTATGTGAAAATAGATGTACAAGCTTATATCTACATAAAATTTGATATTTTTGTAACAGTTGGTCTAAAAGATCGTAACGCGTGCACTTACGTTAGTGTTTGTCGTCTCCGCCAGTCTCCGCAATTATAAATAAATTTTTATAAATAAAAAATAAAATTATTATAATTTTCTTATTTTGTTACATATCAATAATTTTAACAAATAAAAAAATATTAGTTTATTAATAAAATTAAAATAAAGAAATATATCGTATAGAAATATATATTGTATAAATATATATCGTATAAGAAATATATATCATATAAATTTCCAGTAATTATTCCTTTGTTTTTAATTAATTAATATAAAGCATTATCAGAATGTTTTCTTATTAATTATTACTTATAGTAATTATAATCAGGTATTCTAGTTATAACACATATATGTGCGAAAATATATTTCGGTTAAAATGATCAGGACATGCCTACTAACATTAGTTTCGAGATCGCGACGCGCTTACTCCCGAGTTAATCAAAGTTCAACTTATTCATTGTCTCTTTTCAATTCCAGAATTGGAAAGAGATGAAAAACAAATTGAACCTCGGATAAGATCATGAGTTGTGGAACTGAGTTGTGGGCCTAAGTAAAATTATAATTATTGTTACATAAAAGAGTTATTCTTTACGTTGTAAGAATTGTCAGTTAACAAAATGTCAAATGTATGATAAAAAATTTAAAATTAAGTTCAAATTTTACTTTTTGTTTATAGTTTTTATAGTTTTTATAGTTGGACACTTGCTATGAATAATAAGATTCAATTTTTAATTTTGATATTTGTAAAATGCATTATAATGTATTAACATTATAAAGTATACATAGCTGTAATTAACATGCATTATACATGATTAATAAAGAATTAATATAGTATAATATTTCGCGTTGAATTTAATTAAATATAAAATACGTATGGATTTTTATTTGCAAATAAGAGTAAAACATCATATTTGAGGAGTCTTTTTTTATATTTATAGAATTGTTAAAAGAACTCAAAGAACTAAACCGATTATAATTTTTGATCATTCATTCTTATCTAACTCAAATAACAGCATGGAAAAGAACCACAAAAATGTGGATATTATTCTACAAGATTTGGTATACAAAAAAGATCGGATCTTTTCTGGTTATCTCTGTTGACATTAACTTACCTTATCAAACAAACTGATAGCTCTTTGACGTCGATCCCCATCTTTTGGCGTACCAAAGTTAAGTATATTTTCTAACGTCTTGTGTACATCGAATGGTGACGTTAAATATTGTGTGTTGTACACGAAGTTTGCGTAAGCTTGTGGGTGGACTTGTTTAAACCAAGGTGGAAAAATGAAGGAGAAAAATGGCAATCTTTCTTCTTGCTTGCCTTGTAAAGTATTACGAATATCCGCAAATCTAAAACGAAAATAACAATTAGCTTGTACGTGTAAAATATATAATGTATATATGTAAATATATAGCATTTACAGTTATAGCATTTTTATTGCAGAACTAGTGCTCACTAGATGCACTTTAAAATGTTGTTGTACACAAATCGACATAAAGATGTACGTTCAAAAATAGAAAAACGAATTAAATCGCGAAATATTCAATACATTTTATTGTGCTATTTGATAAAATACACATATTGGGCATTTTATCAATTGAGATATCTTAGATTAAAATAGTGTACATACAACAGGCTTAATGTGCACTGAGTGCGCACTATAATTCTGTTAATTAAAAACGCTATTATGTATGTATATATA